CACGGAATCACACAGCACATCTGCGGCCAAGCGGCTTCCTCCCTCGCGTACGAGCAAATTTCACTGCCGCGCGATTTGCTTCGTCATGAAAGGCTACGGCACGGCACTATGCAGCTACACCTCGGGCCGCCGACGTTGTCCCCAGGGACCACAGCCCAGCACCACACGGCACCACACTGCACCATCATGTCTTTAACGCGTGCGAAGATAGCACCGCACAGCACCGTCGAAGCCCACTGGTTGTGCGACTGGGGAACAGCCACTCAACAGTACCAGTAGGCACCGCCAAGATCTATCAAATTGGTTTCCGATGAACGCACAAACACGAAGTCACACAGCAGCAAGCGGCCCGAGTCGGGAGTGTCTGCTTGTACTCCGCGTCTTCCTGCTAGAGTTCCCGACTTGCATTGCAAGACCTTCGGCACGAGTTCACGTAGACAAGAGGTGCCGTGCGGCACAGCACTGCCAGGACCAAACGTGTTCGGTGGGCGGGGGCCCACAGCTCTTATCACCGTAGGAAAACACTGACAGCATACGCCGATGTGGCTACGTATGTTCAAAAAACGGCGTGTGCGTATATATTTATATATAAATGTACAAGTCCGAGAAATTCAAGGAAATAGACAGGGATACATCGGCCCAATGAAGGTTCCTGGAATTTTCATCACGACGCTGGCCGGCGGAAGCCGACGGAAGTAAAACGAGGCGGAAGACGGGGGAAGGCCGCCGGAAGGCTTGCCGATGTCAGCGGAAGTAAACGACGCCCCTTCCGAACCCCCTACCCCCGTAGAAGCCTAGCAATGTTGTCTTCCTCCGTGGGCCGGGCGGGATCCCGCCTGGCTTATTCCGCTTTAATATGATTAAATTTAGTTCAGGACGATCCAAATCCCACCCATGAAAAATGGGGTAGACCAAAATCCCGGGCCGCTCACGGATCCCACCATGCTGGGATCGGCTCGAAGTAAGATGGGGCTCATAAGTTGCAGTATTATTGCCGTGTTGGGGTCGTCTTGAGGTCATATTGAGATCATATCCCGGTCATGTTTGGATCACGCAACCATCGCGTGGTCATTATGAGGCCACCCTGGGTGCGCTTGGATCCATCTTGTTGCCATCGGGCCATCTCGGCGTCACGCGTTGCTCATGTGTTTCGTCATCTGCGAGTCGGCCTGAGACGGTCCAAAATCCATGGCGGGATCGCGTTGGGGTGGCATCATCCTGGGTCCTCTGGACGTTATCGTCCGTGGCCTGAGGCATTCCTGGAAACATGTTGTGGCCGTGGGACGTCTTGGGATCGCGTGCGTGCGAACGCTGAGCACGCGCGCGCGACTTTTCATCTTGCCGACGGGTTTACATACATATCGTTCCTCTTGCGAGTTTCCAAGGAACTTTTTGTTGGAGCCAAGCCTGTCCGAGCCCCCGCATGTCCGTGGCCATTTTGGCTCCAGGTTCACTGGTGCCTCTGACGCGCGTTGGCCATGACGCCGACTTGTCCCACTGCCGAACTGAATTGCCATCCCTGTCGCGCGGGATGTAAAAACCGACGCAGCCTGTCCGAGCCCCCGCATGTCCGTAGCCATTTTGGCTCCAGGTTCGCTGGTGCCTCTGACGCGCGTTGGCCATGACGCCGACTTGTCCCACTGCCGAACTGAGTTGCCATCCCTGTCGCGCGGGATGTAAAAACCGACGCATCGGCCCAATGAAAGTTCCTGGAATTTTCATCACGACGCTGGCCGGCGGAAGTCGACGGAAGTAAAACGAGGCGGAAGACGGGGGAAGGCCGCCGGAAGGCTTGCCAATGTCAGCGGAAGTAAACGACGCCCCTTCCGAACCCCCTACCCCCGTAGATGCCTAGCAATGTTGTCTTCCTCCGTGGGCCGGGCGGGATCCCGCGTGGCTTATTCCGCTTTAGTATGATTAAATTTAGTTCAGGACGATCCAAATCCCACCCATGAAAAATGGGGTAGACCAAAATGCCGGGCCGCTCACGGATCCCACCATGCTGGGATCGGCTCGAAGTAAGATGGGGCTCATAAGTTGCAGTATTATTGCCGTGTTGGGGTCGTCTTGAGGTCATCTTGAGATCATATCCCGGTCATGTTTGGATCACGCAACCATCGCGTGGTCATTATGAGGCCACCCTGGGTGCGCTTGGATCCATCTTGTTGCCATCGGGCCATCTCGGCGTCACGCGTTGCTCATGTGTTTCGCCATCTGCGAGTCGGCCTGAGACGGTCCAAAATCCATGGCGGGATCGCGTTGGGGTGGCATCATCCTGGGTCCTCTGGACGTTATCGTCCGTGGCCTGAGGCATTCCTGGAAGCATGTTGTGGCCGTGGGACGTCTTGGGATCGCGTGCGTGCGAACGCTGAGCACGCGCGCGCGACTTTTCATCTTGTCGACGGGTTTACATACATATCATTCCTCTTGCGAGTTTCCAAGGAAACTTTTGTTGGAGCCAAGTAGGGAGTGAAGTAAAAGGGCGGGATATATATATATATATATGTATACTAGAGATGACAAAATGTTAGCCAGCGTTGACCCAAACAGCGATTACATGCAAGCTATGCAGTAAGACCTAGGTGGTGCAATCAATGTGGTATGCTCTGGGTGGTGCAATCCATGTGGTGCAACCAATGTGGTGCCAAGCAACGTAAAGAAAACGAAAGCCATGTAATGCAACGCAGAACAACGCAAAACAACACAAAGCAATGCAACACAACGCAATGGAAAGCAATGCTAAACAATACAAAGCAATACAAAACAATGCAACGCAATGCAAGGCAATGCAAAGCAAAGCAATGCAATGCCATGGAAAGCAATGCAAATCAATGCAAAGCAAAGCAAAGTAATGCAAACGTGTGCAAAACAATGCAAAGCGATGCAAATTAACGTAAAGCAACGCAACGCAGTGCAAAGCATAAATTGCAATGCAAAGCACTGCAAAACAATGGAACGCAATGCAAAGCAAAGCAACGAAAGCAATGGAAAGCAACGCGAAGCAACGCGAAGCAATGCAAAGCAATGGAGCGCTATGCAAACAAGTGTAAAGCAATGCACAGCAATGCAAGGCAGTTCGAAGCAGTGCAAATCAATGCAAAGCAATGGAGAGCAGTGCAAAGCCGTGCAAAGAAAGTGAAAGCCTCGCACAGTCAAAACCGCGCACAAAACGATGCGGTGACGGACGGCGGCAACGGAAGACCACCACCTGGCGGGACCGGCGCACAGTCCAGAATCGTGACAAAAATGGTGCGTCGGCAGCGGCGACGGGCGGCGACGGGCGGCTACAGGGTGGCGGAAGCAGCAACCGGGCCCAGCTCCTGATCAGACAAGTAAGAGCACCTGAGTGCAAGCACTGTCTGGGAAATTGGATCAATATAGAGACCGCAACTGAGACACTGGGAAGGGTAGGGAAAGAGAGAGGGAGAGGGAGCGGGAGAGGGCGAGGGAGCGAGAGAGAGAAGGAGATGTAGAGGGAGCTGAATGAGGAGAGAAGAAGGAGCAGGCATGGTGGGGAGGTTCAAAGATAACGAATTGGGTCGAGCGAACTCGCAGTATGGAGCGTGAGGGGCTCGCGCCACGAGGGCTCCTCTCAAGCCTGCAGTCCCCGCGCCAGTGACCGGAGAGCTGCCTTGAGGAGCAGGCTGCAAGAGGGACAGGGAGGGCACGCCCGAGATGGAGGGGACGAGCACGCAGATGGACCCAATGGAGAACACTGCAGGAGGAGAGAGAGAGAGAGAGGAAGGGAGAGAGGGGAACGACAGATTACGAAGGACCCGACCATATGCAAGTGTGAACAACGCAAGTGTGAAAGCCATCTTTGGTGGAGCTCCCAGTGGGGACACGAAACGTGTGAGGGGTGTACCGCAAGGGGTCGGGCGGACGCATGTGGACCCTCAAACTGGGGCCCTCGGTGGAGCTCCTAGTGGGGCCACGAAACGTTTGAGGAGTGTGCCGGAATGAATCGGGCGGACGCATGTGGACCATCCCACTGGGGCCCTCGGTAAAGCTCCCTTCGAGGCCACGAAACGTTTGAGGAGTGTGCCGATGTGAATCGGGCGGACAGATGTGGACCCTCCCACGGGGACCTGCAGCGGAATTTCCTATGGGGTCACGAACCATCCCAAAAGTGTGCCGAAATGGGCCGGGCGGACGCATGTGGCCCATCCCACTGGGGCCTTCCGTGGAGCTCCGTATGGGGCCACGGCACGCGTAGGGGGGTGCCGAGATAAATCGGGTGGCCGCTTGTGGACCTTGCCACTGGGGCCTCCGTCGGAGCTCCCTGTGGGGCCACGACACGCGTGAGGGGTGTGCCGAGATAAATCAGGCGGACGCATGTGGACCCGGCCACTGGGGCCTTTCGGGAAGCTCCGTGTGGGGGCACGAAACGTGTTAGGGGTGTGCCTACATGCGTCGGGCGGACGCATGTGGACACTGCCACCTGGGCCTTTGGTGGAGCTCCCTATGGTGCCACGAGACGTATGAGCGGTGTGCCGACATGATTGACGTGCGGAGGGCAACGGCAGGAATGGGAGGAGGGAGGGAGGGGGCAGCGGGAGGGAAGGAGACGCGGGGCGCTCTCTTCAACACGGAAACCCAGCACCACAGGATGGTTGGGAACAACGACCGGGATAGATAGAGAGGGAGGCAGATAAAGAGCAAAGAATGATGGATATCGAGGGGAGAAGGAGACGACAGAGACGCAGCCAAAATCCTTCTCCTTCTGCCGCAGTTCGTTCCGTAATCTGCTGACCTGTCGCGCGGGAGCACGCACTTGCATGTAAAACTGCAGCATTGCCTTGTAGATGGGGAGCGCATATGCACCGAAAAGTCAATAGACTCAGATCGCCTCATCACTGGCGCCCATCACCTGTCGCTATTTGTGCTTTTCTCCCCGCTTGTCCACGCGCAACCAAAGAGGACTAAATTCGCACTGCACCAGTCTAACCCCTCATAGAAATCTCTGAAAACCTCCTTGCTCTGTAACACTCTAGAACCAACCAGAAGACTACAGACTGGTAACCCAGAACATCGGCGCAACCGACGCGAGCTGAGACGAAGTCACGATTGGGACAGCCTCGGGTCGGGACAAATTTGGGAGCTGGCGGGTCTAGAGGACGGGGGGCCAATTCCCAGCGAAAAATTCCACCGGCCCTCTGGGCGAAGGTCCAACGATGACTTTTATCCTTTTCCGCAACCCCTTCTTCCCCCTCCGGGAGGGGTTTATCACTATTCCTTGCTAATATATACCCCCTCCCCCAGGCGACCGGGGGCCAATCAGGCACGAGGCCAACACCATGCCGGCCTGCCCCCCACCGTCCCGGTAACAAAACAAAACAAACCGCACTGTGCCTCCACATTTGGAGCATGCGCGGCCAACCCGATGCGGAACCCCCCATCGTCCCTGTCAAAAAGCAATGCAAAGTATAGTTGGGGGCAGGAAGTCTTGAGTCATTGCCATGAGGCCCGCGAGGACTCTGTAAAAAAAAAAAAAAAAAAAAGGCGGGGGTGTCAGCATATTCCCTGCTGCGCGCAGGGCTACCATCCCTGACACAACAAAACATACAACAAACAACATGCACCTCGCGGCTAAATGTGCATCATGCGCGGCCATCCCGCGATCACTGTCAAGTGGTTTTGACAGGGACGGCGGGTGCGGTGGCGCGTGGCCTGCTGTGTTTTCGACAGGGATGGCGGGGGCCGAGATGTTTCCCGATGTGTGCTGTCACGTGCGCATGCGCACCTGGCGCACTCTTCACGTGCCCCGAACGCGGCGCACCTGGCGCGGCTGGAGTGTGCGGCACACCTGGCGCACTCGGAGCACGTGGCGCATCTGGCGCACCAGGCGTGCCTGGCACGCTCGGGCCCCAGGGGTGCCTGGCGCGCGTGGAACCACTGGCACGCGTGGCGCACCTCGCCCAAGCGTCGCGAACCTGGGGTCGGCTTTGGCTTCCAGTAACTGTCCATCCAAAGACGACCGTTGAACATGCTTAGGCTCGGGAGTTACTTTTGTGTATTGAGGACGGGTGCGGGTGAGCTAGACGGCTTGTGAGCGGGCGGGTAGCTTGACCCTCCCCCTACCCCCTCTCGTGCACCTGGACGGGGGGGGGGGGGGGCGCGTGTCTTCACCGGGTCCTTTTTCGCTCAAGATGGTTCCAAGGGAACCTTCGATGCTCCAGGATGGCATCCAAGATGCCTCGAGACAGCCGACGATGATTCAAGATTGCTTCCGACATGCCTCCAAGAGGCCCCAAGAGGGCCATAAGAGGGATCCAGGTGCCCGCGGAGACCCCTCGGGACCTTCCTGGGAAGCCCAAACCTTTCAAACACCAGAGGAAAATCACTGATGTTTGCCTTCTCGCCGTTTCGCTTCCGATGCGTTTTTGAAACGTCAAGATGGCCCTAACATGACCCCAAGAGAGCTCCGAAAAGGGCCCAAGAGGCTCCCAAGACTGCCTCAAGCGCGCCCAAGATCGCCCCAAGTGGGCCCCCAGAGCGCCCCGAGAGCGCCCTAAGAGGCTATTTCGATGGCCCCAGAGGGGGGGGGGGGGGGGGAATCTCCTTTGATCGATGGTCTCCAAGACGGCCCCAGGAGGCGCTCCATAGCTCCCAAGAGGGCCCCAAGAGAGCCCAAAGAGGGCCCCATGAGGGCCTCAAGGCGCCCGAACAAAAAAACAAGAGGACCCCAAGACCGCCCAAAGAGCCCCAAGAGGGCCCCAAGATGCCCCCAAAGAGCTCCAAGAGGGCCCCAATGTCCCCCAACACAGCGCCGCACCTCCAAGAAGGTCTCCGATGCTCAAAGATAGCCTCCAAGATGGCTCAACGCCCTTCGTCCTCTTCTCTCCTTGCACGCCCTGTGTCACTATATATGCATCTTCTCTCAAGTTCCCGACGCAGGGCGTCTTAAAAGGCTGGTGAGGATTCTTTCTTGTTTACCGACCGCTAGCGGAAGACGGCCGCAGGCGTCAATAGGTCGATCGAGAGCCAAGCATACGTGAAACCGGGCGGAAGCCTAGACTACAACTGGCACGCGCGGAAAAGAAGCGACGCGGGGAAGGGCGAGAGGACGACGAGACGACGGAGGAGAAGCAGCAGACTAACGCAGACTGGTGGGGATTCTTTTTCGGTCGCGGCCACGAGCGAAGAGCGCACGCGGCGAACAGGGTGCCCGGGCCGACGGGCAAGCCTAATTAGCTACAAGACGCGCCGCTAGCCGACCGGCCCACTCACAAAGCAGCCGCGGGGCTGTGCGGGAAGCTGACGGCAGGGGACATCCTGGGAAGCTCGGGCACTTGCAGTCTGACAAAATGTCGAGAAATTCGCTGCCTGCCGCGAAGCATAACCCACACAGCGACATGACGTGCACCGAGGCAGACGTGCCCGTCATACTGGGTGGGGGCAGATGCGGAGCCCGATGAGCGAGTCGCCAATGGGGCGCCAGGCCCAATCCGCCCCAACGGCGCGCGCTGGCTAGGGGAGCTGAGCTGCCGAGGAACGTGGAACGACGCAACCTGCCGAAAGAGGGGGAGATGAGCCCGGGGCGCTGCTGCGGCTGCGAAAGGCTGAACCACCCCGTCGCGGTCGCAGCACCCAAAAGTCCACCAGACAGCGCACGTGGTAGGCCCAGACGACCGCGAGCCGGCCCCGTCGACAACGGGACAGCGACAGGCCAGATGAGCTAGAGGAGAAGGCTAGGCAGGCGTGGTGAGCATCGCCAGCGAGGCAGGGTGCTGCACAGGGAGCGCGGCAGCTGCCGCCTGAAGTACGCCGAAGGCCACCGAGGGACGGCCTTATCCTCCTAGTACACGAAGCTGGCTGCACCTCCAGGGGCGGCGCGTGGCGCGCGCCCAAGCAAGCAAGAGAAACACTGCAAAATGGGCGGGGCGACCTGGGGGAAGCTGCGCTGTAGCAGCCGCGAGGGCCGACGGCCACCGCGGGCCGACCTTGTCCGCCGCTTCCGCCCTTCCCCGCGGGAGCCCAGGGTCGCCGTCAACCACGCGCCACGTGAGCCTCCAGGGTCGCAGCTAACCGCCGCAGAATGCGAAGAAACTCACCACGGACTGCGGGGGCCCAGGGCGGCCCTGGGGACGGGGGGGGGCCGAGAGCGGCCCTGGCGGGGATTCGCGAAACGTAAACCATTAGCGCGGCTGCGAATACCGCGAGGGGGGGGCGAGACGAAGGAGGGGGGCACGCAGACTCCGAACAGCGCACAATATAGCCTCTGCCCTCATCGGCAGCGCGCCGCACAAGGACGAGGTGCGGGGCAGTGGAGCAGAATGAAGTGGAAGCCCAGTTCGCGGGTCGACCGCGCAGGGCACTCAGGGCAAGACAATCCCCAGGAGGATCCAGAAACCGACGCGGACGACAAAGAAAAATTGAGGAAACTGGGGAAACGGAGCGAGAGGTCGACCAGTACACTCAAACACCAGTCTTTGTGAGACCTGGCATTTGAAAGCACAGGGGGCATTCACAGAGCAGCTGACAGGGGGCGAAAGGGCCTGGGCAGCGAACATAGCGAGACCACGAGGGGCACGCGTGCCGAAACTGGTCGCGCGGACGCATGCGAATTCACCACGGACGCCCTCGGTGGAGGGCCCTCCTGTGCCGACATAAGTCAGGCGGGCGCATGCGAATTCACCACGGGCGCACTCGGGGGAGCTCCCTGTGGGGCCACGAAACGACAAACAATCGAAAATCGACTGGGCGCCCGTAACTTGGACTCCCGGCAGTGGTTGATGCAACGCACAACTGTCGCGAAGCATGGAAACGTAGGGGCCGGCAAACTGACGCCAATCTGCCGTGGGAACGTCTCCGAAGCAGGCGTCTCGGAGCAAGTGCTGTACCCAGTCAGACTCTCCAAGGGACTGGCAAAGAGAGCTCGCCTCGCCGGCCAGCGAAGAGTCAGCAGCCCGACGCAGATTGGATGATCTCCATGACGAAAGGGCCATTTTGCGGGTTAGTCCAGCTGCTAGCTGAGGGGCGGCCACTCCGACAGCCAAGGCACACTGGATGGGAGACTCGGAGCCGCCCCCTCCTGAACCACTCAGCGTGAAACACACAATGCTGGACAGATCGCGGCGCCATATCGCCAGACATTGAAAAGCCGTGTCGCGTAGCATCTGCACAGCTCTGTAGAACACCGCGACGTCCTCCACCACGGCCAGCCGAAACCTGCATGCGAGTATGGAGGCTGTGCCCGAAACCTCTGGGCCAGTCTCCTTGGACACCCATTTGATCCCAAATGCCGGACCACAACTGCTCAAACTCGGAACGACTCAAGGCTTCCTGAGTCTTGGATCGGCGGCCCTTCTCGAACATGGTGGGATGTCACACGGATCCAGTGCCCATCCGCGCGTGCGCGATCCCCTGCAAACTCTGCCTCGTCGCCACGCCACATTCCGAAGGTGGACTTGGCCTTCGGCGAGTCAGCCAGCCACTGGGCGCGCATCGGAACGGTTCCAAGCCCGAGGTCGCCCACTTCAATCAGCACTCGCCCATTCAGGAGGCATCGCTCTCGCCGGGTCTAGTGGCACGGCTCTAGGAGCAGATTCTTGAAAACCATGTCTCGGAGATGGGATGCGATCGTAGCGCGGCACTCCCAGGGCGCATCGTCGAGCCCGTAGACAGCCACATGGAGCTCGATCAGGCAGCCCTCTGGGACACGCATGCCAAAACAGCAGGCAGGGGGCAACGTAGACGTGCCCTCCAGCCCAGCGAAGCTTCCTGGACTGGCTGAAGGCATTTTTGCAGTCC